ACGGTAAGTTAATAAAACATTGAATCATCATTTACGAACATTCTCGTCCGATTAGTATTGGTATAGTATTTATCAATATTTTTAGATGACCATTTTGAAGTTTTATTAAGTACATACAATAGTTAGAACTTCAATATAGAGTTTTAAAAATATATTGTTCATGGTTTGTATAAAATTACTTAACAAAAACTGATTATTATCATTACAGGTATCTACAAGTCTCTGTTTACTAGTCAACCGATAAATCCACAGCAATTCTTCATACAATCTCAGCAAAAACTTTACAGTTGCTTTTCTTGCAGAAGAAGTTATGTCTATGAGCAAGGTCTGAGACAACACCAGAAATATCAATGTGGAAAGGAACCTCAATTTAAATGTACTAATTGTCCATATAGGGCCTATTTACGAGGAAATATGACCAAACATTGTAAACGAAAACATGGGATAGATTATTTAGCTTGAACAAATCGTTATGATACATAGATGCATGTAAGAATAATAATATTAATTATATGGAATAGAAATTTATTTATTTAATTTTTTAATAAAAAAAATAAAAAAAAAAGAAATGTTTTTTTAAAATATAATTTATTGTCGACCTTTCGGCACAATGTATGTTCCATCTCTAGGATATATTCCAAGAACGTTGTTTTAGTTAGAAGATAAATAAAAAAAAACTTATTTATACAATGGTTTAAATGCTCATATAAATAAATATATACATACATATATATATATATATATATATATATAATTTTTATAAAAGTGAAATAAATTAGTTTAGGCTGAATTCTCGAATTTCATGCCGGGGCAAAAACAATTAGATAGTATCTCTTGTCGCAAATAAATATATTACTCTTTCAATTGTATATTATATTTTATTTTATATACTTAATTTTTTATACCCTATTATTCGAGGTTTAAAATATTATTATTGATATTTTATCATATTGATCTTATTATTAGTAAAATAATTGATCTTATTATCAATCAAATAATTGTAAGATTTTTTTTTGTTATTAGGGTTATATTTATAATTTTTTTCTCTAAATGTTGGGACTTTTAACGAAATCTATAGAATCTAAATAAGATACTCGTATTGTGTAAAATTTTATATTTTTTTATAGATATAACAAATTGTTAAAATCTTGTACATATACACACACATACACCCATAAATATATTATATATAAATATTTGTATAGGGCAGAGCGGGGTAAAAAGGTCCACTACAGGTATCTCAAAAACAAGTAAAGCTAGGATTTTTTTACAAATAATATTTGAAAGTAGAGGGAAAAAGATGTATGACCAGGTATCACCTTGATTCTATCGAGAGATAAATGGCATTGTTTGAAAATCCATAATAAAAGTATTTTCTTCCATCGTTAATTGTTTTGGCTTGTGAGCACTGTTGTTTAGTTTACGATATTTTAATATATTTTCTAAGTATACGTTATGTAATTGTTACACTCAACCATTTTTTTACATAACTTATATAAAAGTTCACATCTTGGTGGGGTAAAAAGGAGCAACTGAACTTTACCCTGGCAAAGGTGTCAACAAATGAAAAATAGTAAATTAAGTTATAAAAAGCAATTTTTCAAAAAAAAAATCAAATTAATGTTTATTCCAACTTCGCTGATAAATATTTTTGACAAAACACCAGATCGAGGTTATATACAGGGTTATCTCTAAATATTTATGTAGCCATTAAATATATTTTTTGCACTGTTTGAATAATAAAGCTATTATTTTGTAAAATTAAACTATATTGGATCTTGATTTCCCATTTTGCTCCACTTATGGGGTAAAAAGGATCAGATAATAAATTTTCGGCAAAAAACACATTTTGTCAATAATTACGCTGTGGATTCTACTTAATATAGTCAGATAGTTGTTTGCTTGATATGTGTTGTTTGTTGTAATTAAATTGGTTTGGTTTTCACAATATAATTGCTCAAAGTCAAATTGGACCTTTGAGTCTCGCCCTATCCTAAATAATCTTAATTTGTTGACATATGTATGAATTTTATTCTAGTCAACAACATTTAATAAAAATCATTTTTATATAAGTATATTAGGTTTTGCCTGGACTTCCAGTTACGAATATTGATTTTATTACTTTAATAATAATTCTATTAATTTCATTTTGCTGATTTTCCCATTATATGACAAACAACTTACATTTAATAAAAGTAAGCCATTTTTTCACACCTGTTCAAGTATCTTTACTAAGCAATTGTACCTCTGAAACATGAAACAAAATAAAATTTATTTATTCAAATAAATAGAGTTTATTAATTATTTCTTTTTAATCTTATATAAAACTGTATCAAGTAATTTTCATTAACATAAAACTGATCTTTATTTCAGAATTGCATTTTGCACCATATGATGAGCATCTTAACTACACATATGGGAGGAAATATGCTTACAAAAATACTGGAAATGGAGTTTTCAAATGCACCGTTTGTTCGAAGACATATGCTTATGAAAGAAATCTAAAAACTCATTTAAAATATCAATGTAATAAAAATCCACAATTCAAATGCACGTTGTGTCCTAAAGAATGCTTTTATAAGGCTAATATGATTCGTCATTATAAAGGAACCATCCGGATTGTGAACAGTACTGAACAATTAATTTTTAAACATATCAATTATTTTTAGGCACAATAATTTTCTCATATACGACTTTAGTAAAATATGTAATTCTTGATGAAAAAGTTGTTTGATGAATATTATTCTTATTTTTATGGTTGAGAATAAAGACTTAGATTTAATGATAATTATAGATAATATAATCAAGTATGCATTTATTAATTTATTTATTTCATTCACTTCAATTTATCTATTCATTGTAAAATTTTATAATCTATATTTACATATTCATATGTAAAATAACGGATACTATCATAATAAAATAAATACATATTTGTTGAAAATTTATTTATACAGAGTGCTCCAGAACTTTTTGTCAAGCCGAAAAATTGAACTTAACTGTTCTAAAAAAAAGAGTGCGCGTAAGGTTCACACGCGATTGAAGTAAAACCTTTTTGCTATTGTAGTAGATGGCAATTAAGTGAAAAATAAATACATCATATAACAATTTTGAATAATGTTTATATGGTTTTAGACACTCGTGATTTATATAATAATAAATTATATATTATATATTTATAATATTTAAAAACAACAATGTAATTAAAGTCATATTTCAAATATGACATGATCGGTTTGTCACTGTAATTAGAATTTAGGAGTTGAACCTTCATTAGAGAAATTAAGTAATTGCTGATTAATAAATTCTATAATAATTGTTTACTTTATTTAGCATTTCAGAAATTTAGCAATCAGAAATACATAATAGAAACTACGAATAAGATAGAAATTATTTCAATAAACTTACGTTTCTTTTTTTTTAACTCGTTTTATTTAGCAAACAGAAATACATTATAGAAACTACGAATAATATAGAAATTATTTCAATAAACTTAACATTTTTACACTGCACAATGTTTATTTGTTTATTATTTTCATTATAATATTAACGAGCGACGGGGTAAAAATCTTCTGATTCATGCATTTTTTATTAAATCAAGATTGTACTACGATGTAATCTTAAACTTGATCTGACATTCCGATCTCCGTGTGATTGTACGCCGGTACGCTTAAACGAAAGATTTATTAACTTTATGACACGTAACAACTAATCTACAATCGACGCACGACAACTCATCACAATCGAACGACCCGTATAGAAATGATTTCTTCGAAAGCGAGTAACAAATAGTTCGGGCATGACTAAACTTCCGTTGCATTTTCACAGATTTACTCCCTAGCCGCGCGCAATGAAGTTTTACTTCAATAATTCACGTTGTTTGGAAATTATAAGTTTATATAAATTATAAGTGCATCATACGGCTTTGGTGAAATTATGACCTGTTTTCGGTCATTTTGATTATTTTGATTAATTTTGTACATTCATACTTTGGAACTGTAAACGTGTATAACATTTCTAGAATCACTTTAAAAAAATTAACCACAATAACCGAAAACTAGTCATAATTTTACCAAAGCTCTAGGTAGCATTTAAAAGCTCTTAATTGCCAAACAACGTGAGATAAATTTTTTCCTTAATTTTTTGGGCGGTTAAGGTCAATTTTACACCCTTTTGGCCTTACATTCTGGGACACCCTGTATAGTTTAGTACATAGAGAATATCATTTGTATTATATAGGTAACTGTGATATTTTTGCAATTATTTTCAAATCATTTGTTCGAGTAATATGTATGTATTTTTAATTGATGCAAATTAAGTGATTTTTATTACTTAGTTTGAATAATGATGAAATTCGATAATTATTGTATTGTTTGAATAATTGTATCATTTAATGTATGAGTTGGTATTATTTCTTATAAGAATTATTAGTCATCATTTACCCATGTAGTTGTACCTTGTATAATTATTATACTCTTGTTACAAACGAAATAAATAATAGTTTCAATTGATGGTTGGATATCATCATCGAGCTGTGGTTTCTTCAGCAAAGTTTCTTGAATAGCCCCAATGTACCAGAATTGCAATTTTACCCTATCGGTGCATGTATAAATATTCATTTATGTTGAATCAATATTTTTTGAGCCAATTTGTCATGGTTAATAATAATTTATTGCTGCAACCCAAAGGCTCAATAGTACTTTTGCATGATTATTTCAAAGGTGCTTTATGTATATATGTGCTTCAAATTATAAAATAAATTAGATTGAATTATACCGTAATTATATACATTAAGAAATAATATGTATTTTGTATATTACTAATATACATATAATGTTATACATCATCAAATTATTTTTTTGACTACCTGTCATGGAATGAACAGTTGGGTTGAACAACTACTTTATTGAAAAGTAATAAATAGTTGTATACGTAAATTGAAAATATAGAGTACTTACAAATTTTACTTAATATATTAATTTGTTCGTTTTTTTTTTCAGGATCATCATTTTCCCAAAGCCGGTATCAAGTATGGATTCCCGATCCACCTTCTACTGAGAAATTTCCATGCCCACATTGTCCAAAATCTTACAGATATAAAGGAAGTTTATTGAACCATATGAAATTTGAATGTGGAAAAGAACCAGCTTTCCAATGTCATCTCTGTGACAAAAAAATGCATCAAAAAGGAAATCTGGTGCAACATGTGAAAAGCGTACATAAAATTATTCATTATGAATATTTGTCGCAATGCTTTTCTGAGAATGTTTCACCCAAGCCAAAAATTTAAATGTAATGTCTGGTGAAAATTATAAAATTTACTTGTTTATGAATGAATATGAAAATGCATAATGTGGATATTTTAAAGATGTGCAATAATATATACATATACAGCTGCAATTGGATAGTTTCGAAAATTTAATAAAAAATGCAATAAATTAATATTTATTTATATTAATACTTTACATTAATATTTTGTAAATGCGTATATATATAGCAAAATATTTTAGAATTTAATAATGGGTAATATTATGAATTATATTTTTAAAAATGTATATTTACATTTGTTTTTTTTAGATAATTTAAGAAATGGAGTCCGATATTTTAATTGCAACTTTATTTTATGAAAAATATACTATGTAAGAGATTTAGATATGCTTTAAGTTTTTATGATATAAAATCATACTCAATATAATACTGTTGCATTTACAATTATGCTATGAATTTAGAACAAAAGTATTATTATTCAAGAAGCTACAAAAAATATTTAAATTGAAGGAATTCATATAAAAAATTGTTATATATGCTAATATATTACCATTTTTTCATATGAATTCATTCAATTAATTTTTTTTTTATAAATAGTATACCACAAAATTTTTGAAATATTGATCTAAATTTGAATGCTAAAAAATTAGCTTTACCTAAAAACGATGCCTTAAAAATAAGTTTGAAATTTAAATTAGGTATGATTTAGCTGTTAAAAATCCATAATTTTTATTTTAGTTATATATTCATGACTAAATGATTTTATGTTTTAATATATATTTATTATCATAATAAGTTCTCAACAATACTATATGTGTATGTATGTTTTTGGAAAAAATTATCTTAAAACAAATTCCCAGTAATAATACAAATAAATTACATTAAAATGAAACACATGTTAATAAACACATTTCATGTTTCTATTATATTTTTTTTTAAGTTTATTTTATGTACATGTGTGTATTTTTATCAAAAAAGGTATACATTTTCACGAGATTATCTAATTTTTTAAATATAATGCAATAGAGTTTTTGGAATATTTTATTCTTAACAAATTTGTTTTTGTATAATAATAATAACTTTTATTTATACAGGGTAAAATTATGTAAAAATTTAATTTTTTTAAATATAAAAAAATAGATCAATATGTTTGCAGTTTTTTTAGACTAAGTGGATCCATTTCAAATGCTTAGTATGGTATATATAAATCTATATCTTCTCTGTTACTATTTTTCAGGAATGCCTCAATTTCTAACTGGCGGATTTCAAGGAACTTGGACATCGAAAGGATCAATTTTGGAATCTACCGAAAAATTTATTTGTCCAAATTGTTCAAAAATCTACAGTTACAGAAGAAGTTTGTTGAATCATATCAAATTTGAATGTGGAAAAGATCCTGCTTTTCATTGTCACTTATGCGACAAAAAAATGCATCAGAAAGGAAACTTGATTCAACATTTGAAGAACATTCATAAAATTAGGAATTCAGATGAATTGTCACAACATTTTTCGAAAAAATACTAAGCTAAGATGATAGATTATATTATAAAAAAGAGTGCGCGTAAGGTTCACACGCGATTGAAGTAAAACTTATTTGCTACTGTACAGGATGGTATTTAAGTGAAAATAAATACATCAAATAACAATTTTGAATAATATTTATTAGTAATATGGTAACACTTATGATGCACATATTTATTAGTGTCAACCATTATACACATTTATATAATAATGAGTTGTAAATTATAAATTATATATTTATAATAGCATTAAAAATATGTAAAATAATTAAAAACAATAATACGCATACAACGACAAATCTCTATTCACATACACGACGTCTAATCACAATCGACCCGTATGGAAATGATTTCATCGAGATCGAATGACGAATCATTGGCACTCGACTCGGCCGTAACGCACTTCCGTTGCGTTTGTGCGGATTTATACCCTAATCGCGCCTAAAGAAGTTTTGCTTCAAAAGTTGTACTTCAAAAAACCAATTCAAGCATTTACAAATTTTAGATGTAGTTTTATGATGTTTATCACTAGAACATCATTCATCAACAAACATACGATTAAGGATTTTATTTTATATTATATTATGTTAAGAAATTATATCATATTTATATAATTGTGTCTTTTAAAAAATATAATAATATGAGCAAAATTATTTTTTTTAATTCTTAGTACTTTTGGAATAAAAAAATTATTTGCTGATTTCTCTAACCATGCATTTTTTATTATTTTTATAGGTTTTGGCGCTACCTACCACCTGCCAAAATTTGAAGGTGTTTCAAACCAAATGAAATATTTTCCGCCTCTAACACTAGAACAGTCGAAAATGTATCAATGTTCCAAGTGTAATAAAAGTTATAAATATGATCAGAGTTTAAGAATGCATCAGAGATATCAATGTGGAAAAGAGCCACAATTTAAATGCAATGTTTGCCCTTATAGAACATATTTGAAAGGAAATATGAGTAAACATTGTTTGAGAATGCATGGAATTGAATATGTAATAAATGATAATGTTTCGATGAAATTTTAAAGTATTTATTAACCAAAAATCATAGGAGTAGTCTTGCTGCAAGCAAAGTAATAATATGGAACTAATATAGTTTAATTTTATTTAAATAAAATGCAACAGTTCAAAGCTTTCAATGTAAACCAATTATATTGGTTGCAATGAAGTTTTAATTTTATCGATAAATAGTATTTATTTTAATTTTAAGTCCTAATAATTAATTAAAATCAGAAAAAACGTCCTGATGTCATTGGACAAATATATGTGCAAATCTAAAACATAGACTACTTATATTTTATATATGTTTTCAATAGAAATCTCAGTATATTATACATTGAACGACATTAATAATTTATTGATTATTATCTTATAGTATTATTTATTTTTCACCATATATAGAATAAGTTCGTAGAATTATAAATTCCAATATTAATATAATAATATATTCTATTTTTAATATTAGAAGCTAGGTTATAAAATAATAATAGTGATTATAATTATGTTTATAGTTAAATAATACAAACTTTATACTGAATGTTGGTTTTTATGACTTCTGATTTTATTCTAATATAATCTTCGCTTTTTGTTTTAACCTAACATATTTTGTATGGAATATAGTATTTTTAATCAGGTATATATATATATATATATATATATATATATATATATATATATATATATCTAGCCCTGTATATATATATATATATATATATTTAGATTTTATGTTATATTTGATATGTATACCTATATATAATATATATATATATATTTAGATTTTATGTTATATTTGATATGTATACCTATATAATCTTTTCCTTACACAATTTTACATGAAACTAATAAATTCATAATTTATGCAAATCGATACTGGATAATGAACTCAGTACAATATAATGTAAATCTATAACAATATATTGTATATGTGTATATTTATATTTTACATTTATATCTGCTAACACAGTTTTACATTTCAGATTTCTTCGGAAACGTGCAGGATTTCGAACACATTGGTGTGAAACAAAATGTTTACAAATGCAAGAGATGTCCACTTTTTTATTCCTATAAAAGAAATCTTATGAGACATTTGAAATTTCAATGTGGAAAAACACCGAAATTTGCATGCCCTTTTTGTCCTCATCGAGCCTACTACAAGAGCACCATGAAGAGCCATTGCCAAAGAAGACATCAGCAGAATTACTAGTCAATTAATAATATAAAGTGATAGATGTAATATAAAATTTAATATATTAATATAATGTATACATAAATATATTAACTATTTACAATATTGAGAAAAATGCGTCTGTTCTTGACTCTTTTTAGCCCCACGAAATTGTTGTAAGGGACGTAATATTACGTGGGGGAGAGAGGGGTATAGTATGACATCACGTGTATTAATTTTTTACCTGATTTAAAAAAAATTCAAACATTGTCAAAAAAATGAAAAATTTTACCATTTTATTTCGTAACTAAAAATACACGTGATGTTTGGGGGAAAGGGGGTATCAACACGTATCACCAAGGGAAAGGGTGTTCAAAACTCCTTAAAAAACCGATCACGTGATAAAAGGGTGCTTTCTAACAAAGGGAAGTTTTGATTGATCTGATATTCAAGGGATTAATCTTTTATTAAGATTCTTATATAGTAGTTAAAACTATAACAACAATATATAAAACGTATAGTTTATTGGATTTACTTTTATCTTTTGCAAATTTTCACTGAAGCTACTTTTACTTCATACATCAATAAAATTAATTCGCTAAATCTAAAGGTAAAGCTAATTAATTAGCTAATATTTACACTAAATTTTTAGTTGAATGTTTGGAAAAATATCAAAGATGTATTAACTATGTGAAAATATGAAAGTAATTGAAAGCAGATAGATATTTAAAGTATTGGCTGCAAGAATTAAGCTTTTTGAAATAGTTCATATAAAGCGTGAATTCACTTTCTTATTCTCACATAATTATTAGATCTTTGACTTTTTACTAACTTTCAACTAAAACTTTGATGTCAATATAAATCTGCCATATGTAATTAGTAAGAAAGGCCGGGTACGGTTGTGCCAAGCAACGGTATTGACAGTCGTCATAACAGCTAAACTATACTGTTTTTGACATAGAGTCTAAAAGGGAGAAAGCTAGAGTTATTTGTACGAAGTTTCCATTGATCTATAGACAATATTGCTTTCACAGTGTCAAAAAAAAATTTTGTTCATAGAATATAGGTCATAGATAGATCACTTTTTTGATATTTTAACATAAGTTAAACGGCAACTAAGGCACAACCGTATCTAGTCTCCCCTAAAATAAAAATTTGCACAGTTTTACTTTTTCATATTTTGAAGTAACTAGTTTCTATAATTATTTATTTATTTGTGTAAAAGATTTTAGTGTGTTATTTTAAACTTTTAGAAAGT